AAGATAATGTGGTTTTTTTAATAAAATGGAGTACTACTCAGCCATAAAAAATGAGAAATTGGAGACATTTATAGCTAAATGGATGCACATTGAAGCAATACTGTTAAGTGAAATAAATAGGACACATGTGTAAATACTGAATAGTTTCTCTAGTGGGAGAAACTTAAAATGTAAATAAGGACTAAAAGGTATAATAGATAATGTGAAATAGTAAGAAAAGGGGCAAAGTGGAAGAGGTAGTGGGTGGTGTAGGGGAAATGAAAGAAGGGAATGAAATTAATATGAGAAAATGAAAAATGTAAATATGGAGGCATTGAGGGGTTGAAGAGAGGGCAGGGGAAGGGGGAAAAATAAGAACCAAGAGAGATTATGGAAAGGTGGAAATTCCCAATGATGAATGTCATTCTATTGTATACCTAAAATGTACCAATAAAGTAAAATTAAGAAAAAAAAGAATCATTCTTAATTCTTAGTCATTTTTCTTAAATGGAACTTGTTGGTAGATTTTCATATGTGACCTGAACTTTACTAACTTTGTCATCTTGGGTTATTATAATCTTTCCAAATCTTACTTATTATTCTCATAAATGGAGAAGATAATATTTATCTCACAGAGGTACTGTGACGATTACACAGGATAAAGTGGGGTAAGTGTCTCACACTTAGTAAATTCTTAGTAATTGATAAATTACCTTTAATGAGTGCTTGTAACTTGCCATAGCCATCAGAACACTTCTCTTGAGGAAGGTCTTGTTGCTGGTTTGCTTTTTTTTTTTTTTTTTTCATATTTTTCACCAGAGAGGACAAAAATCAGTCTCAGGAAAGTTAAATAAGAGCCAGAATCATACTACTAGTCAATGATAATGGATTTGAAGCTTGTTAGCCCCTGATCATCTGTGGATTTTGCTATTATGCTGTATCACACTCTTTAAAAAATACAAAACAAAAGCCTTTCCTAAGTATAGCCTACATTACCAATAATAATAGCAACATATGCCAGCAGACTTCTGCAAGGGGAGAAGTGCTTCAAATCTCCAATTCCCCTTTATTTTTCCTCATTATGAGCTTTGCTTGCCTTGTAAGGTTATGTTTCCTTAAGAGTTTTTCTTTTCCTGGCAGAGGTAGCTCAATGGTAGTGTTTGACAACAGTATGTACAAAGCTCTAGATTCAATTCCCAGCATTGAAAAAAAATTCCCCCCCAAACAAAAACTTCCTTTTGTATTTAGATGTCAGCACCAGAGGACCCAGAGGAAAAACAAATTAGAGGTTCTGCCATAATTTCCTGAAGCCCTTGAACCAAGCATCTTTTTGTATTGTTGACAGAATTAAGGTTTCTTTCTAGTATTAAAAGTTAAATTTTTTTAGTCGACTAGTTTCTTTGGCAAATTGGGATACAAAGAAAGGAAAGCCTGGGACTCTTGAGTCTCACAGTATTTACCAAACTGAACTTGTTGTACAAAAGATATGTTGATTTTGCCATAGTCACACATCTACAAGGAAGCAAACAATCCCTCATGCTAGCAGATTTACTGGCATAAATATTCCCAGACACTTATTTTTTCTTCTCCCAATAATAACCCACTCTGTAGTCTTTCTTTATAATGATTTAATTCTTTGGTGGAGCTGAATTCTTTCACAGATGAAGCTTTCACACATTCCCAGAAGCTCTTTCTGTAACTCTTGGCAGATCTTGGCCAGCAGTGGCAGCTCTCATTTCTCAGAGTCTTCTGTTACTTTCAGTACTATGTGAAAGTTTGCCTCACAATTCTTTCCTTTATAAATAAGAAGAAGGAAAGAGGTACATTCTGGCTATAGAAATATAAGTTTAAAAGTGATGGCAAAGTTATAAGCACTCAGGTTACTGAGAAAATCAGACATGCCTGTATTCCCAGCTACCTGGGAGGCTGAAGCAAAAGAATTGAAAGTTTGAGACCTGCCTGAACAATTTAGCAACACTGTCTAAAAAACAGCATGAGGCTAGGGGAGGGGGACATAGTTCAGAGCTCCCTGGGTTCAGTTCCAGCACTGAAAAGAAAGGGCCAGGGCGGCAGTGGGGGAGGGGGTAGGATATTTAAAATCCTTGCAGAGATGAATGGAGAAAATGTGAAATTTGACCTGAGGAGAGTGATGCCCATCCTGAATTTTTCTGTGTTTAAGGACACTGTCCAGCTGTGTGATTCAGTTCAAGGGCCTCAAACTTTGAGAAACACAGGATTCTGAAGTTTTCTGAATGTATTTTTAGGGAAGAAACCAAAAGAGGAGCATCAGGTATTTGAAAGACAAATAGGAGAAGCAGTAGGTAGGGATGTTGAGAGTAGCATTGGACCTCTGTGGCATGCATGGGTGATTCAGGTTGAAGAAGAGCAGTGCTGAGGACAAGTAGAAGTCAGAAAGATCCAGCCACATGTAAAAGGAAAGATCCACAGGAAAGATCCAGCCTGGTCATTCCACCTTTAGTCTCCAGCTATGTACAGCCACAGTGCATTCTTCTGGATTTGGTGCCATGTTCTTTACTAAAATTGTCTGGAGGGATATATTCACTTATGGGAAGACAAGGCACAGAAGAGTGTGAGGAGGAAAAATTGCCAGGAAGCAGACTGCAAGGAATAGAAGAAAGCAATTTTCAAAGGAAAGTGTACATGAAGAATAGTGGCAAAATTGATGAGCTTTTGAATTTATCAAATTTATATTGTCAGTTCCTTATTTTTTTCAAAAATGATTCTTTTCGTTATCCCCTTTTTATTGAAAATCACTTGTAAACAATTGCTAATAGGTTTGTTTAAACATTAGAAATATGAAGTAGAATGATCAAATTGTTTTATAAGTTTCATTGGTGAGGCAAAGGAACATTTACTATAAAGACCATTGTAATTTATTTAAATAATGTATTAATAATTTTACAAATCCAAAGAAAGCAAAATTTAATTGTAAGATAGTAGTAACTATTATCATCAACTTTTACTTTTGTTTGCAATAATAGTAATAACAAATTAGTCTAATAATTTATTTTGTAGAAGAAAAAACCAATTCTCTATGGTTTTCAAGATCTGTCTTTGCAAAACCTGACCAAAAAATCTCCCAGAAGATTGGTTTTAATCTTACCTTGCGATCTTGTTGTGATTTCTCCGCGTACTTTTTCTTTCTGTTCAGTGAGCCCAAAGACTCTTTTTATTACAGAAAGTTTGGCAGAGAACCAAATGGCCTGAGGAGGGAGATCTGGACGAATGACATTCTGCCTGTAAGACCGAGGGCCTTAACAAACACTCCGAGGAGCTGACTGCAGGGACAAACACCCGGGAAGGAACACACCGGACAAGTTGAAAAATAAAACAGACCTTTATTAGTCTGGCCAGACGGCACTCCCAAAGCAAAGTAGCTAAGAGAGGCAACTGGCTCAGAGTCCGAGGCTGTTTTATAGGGGGTTGGGGGGAAGTTAACATGTAGATTTTACGAGAAAAGGAACAAAGGTTAGTGGTCGACTGTCACGTACTGATGGTCAGCAGACACACACACTAATGGTCACGACCGTCACGTACTGATGGTCAGCAGACACATTGATGGATTGTTCTACAGATGGTGGGCCTGGGAACATTTGTTCTCCGGACAAACAAGGGGTTGAGTAATTTACTTAGGAACTTTGTTTCGTTACAGATTTTATCTGTTATCCCAGAACTAACAAGCACATTTTAACCATTAATTTACAAGTACAATAGAGGCTAGGGGAATAGTTGATTTTGGAATCATGCAGTCCCACATTCCCCACTGATTTTCTGTAATCTAAGTAATCTTACACATAAATGTAGGCATCCATTGTATACAACAGCATGATAATAATAAGCATATACATATGATTATAATGGCAATGAATAGTTGTCTTAACCATTGTAAATTGGGCAGCCATTTGGTTAGCCATTTAAACAAATCTCCACCATCCTCATCATGTACCTTTTGAGCCAGATCTTCTAATTGTTTTATCTCCTCCTTAATCTTTGGACCATTATTGGTTAGATTGAAGCAACACATATTTTTAATTTTCTTGTAACCTTGGTGATGGAAGAGCAATAAATAGTCTATTGCTGCTCTGTTATCCAAGATTGCCTGTCTCTGTTCTTGTAGTTCTTGGTTAATTAATGCCAAGGCTGATGAAGTAGCATTTAATCCTTTGACCACCTTGCATGCTAATTTTCGTACTGCCTTTTCAGCATAGACTCCTATAGAAGGCAAGGCCACAAAAGATGCTATCATAGTTATTACTTCGGCGTCTGTTAATAGACCTACATCATCATTGCACCCTGGTGCAGTGTAAGGTGACCACCGTCTAGTTCTATTAGGCACAATTAAATCAGTTTTATCTGGCAATACTACAGCTAGACGACTCAAGCAGCAACGAGTCTCGGTTAAGTTTGTTGGGATATAGTTGAAGGTTACTCCTTCACAGGTATAAAACCATCCTATTGGCAGGGAGATACGGCAATTATTATATACAATCTTTTGTTTTACATGGCAGGGCATTTCTTTCAGTTGTTTCATTTTCAGACATTTAGTTGTACATCCTTCATATATAGCACATTCAGTCTTATTTGACATAATCACTTTAGGCGTATATAATTTGACAGCATTTTTAGGCTTATGGCATGTGACAGGTCCCCAATTATAACTATCCATATAAGTAAGGTTTTTTTTTCCTGGAATATCCTTAAATAGAGTATAGGGCCGTATTAATTCTAAAGGGGTGCATATCAGGATAAGACAACTTCCCAGCACATAATGGAAATTTACATCAACATTTAAACAGAATTCAGATAGGTTAAGCGAGTTTGCCAATTGAATCCATACATTTTTTGTGTGATCTAGTCCTCTTGGGGGCAATACTGCCAGTGTCCCAGAGAATATTATCATGAAGGCGAAACATCTCCAACCCACTCCAATCTTAGCTTTTGGTCGCCTGGTTGGCTGATAACCTTCCATCTGTCTTTTCCAATGTCTGCGGGGGGTCCTGCTTTCAGATGGTTTCGATGTATCCAGGCAGAATGTCCAGCCACCTTCACCACCAAAGGAGTTGACAGGACAACAGGAACCGGTCCTTTCCAGCGAGGTTCCAGGGTCTTGGAGTCAAACCTGTGAATAAAAACCAAATCTCCCAGCTTATAGGGTAAAGGTTGTAAAGGTTTTTCATTTGGACTAGTCATTTTCTTTTGTAATGCCTCACGTAGCTCTGACTGAAGCTGATGAACTGTTTTTCAGGATTTAAGGAGTCGAAGGTGGGAAAACTTTTCCTTTAATTCTACATCTATTAATGGAATGATTGGGGGAGATCACCCATAAACAATCTGAAAGGGGGACAAATTGAGGGGAGGCTTGGGTGTGCACCTCATTCGGAGGAGGGCAAAAGGGAGAAGCTCTACCCAACCTAGTTCAGTCTCCAAGCATAATTTAGTCAGAATCTCCTTTAAAGTTTGACTTGTTCTTTCTACCTGTCCTGAACTTTGAGGCCTATAGGCACAGTGTAGATTCCACTTTATTCCAAGAATATTACTAACTAGTTTAGATATCTTAGCCATAAAGGCTGGACCATTGTCGGACCCCAGAGCTAAGGGCAAACCAAAACAGGGTACTATTTTTGTCAGGAGCCTTTTAACTTCAGCTGTCTCCCTCTTAGTGGGGTATGCTTCTACCCATCCTGAAAATGTATCCACAAAAACTAGCAGGTATTTGTATGCATACATGCCTGGTTTCATTTCAGTAAAGTCCAATCCCCAATGTTCTCCTGGAGTTAGTCCTCTGTGTTGGACCCCAGGGGGCCCGGTTACCCGGTTTGCATTTACCTTGAGGCAGGTTGGGCATCGTCTCACCATGTCCTGGGCCTTTTGGGCTAATCCCTCGCTGACAAAATGAGGTTGCAGGGCAGCCATCATCCTTTTTTCACCGAGGTGGGTAGACTCATGTAGTTCTCGCAGCAGCATATCTGCTTCAGCAGCTGGGATCACCACCTTTCCATCTTTAGTCGTCCACCATCCATGTTCTCCTCGAGTCCAACATTTCCTGTTCATTTCCTTTATTTTTTTATCTGTGTATACCGGTTTTTCTGGGAGCACCGGCATGGGAAGCAAAACCGTTTGCCTCCCTACTGATTTTTGGGCAGCTTGTTTTGCTGCCTGATCAGCATTATTACCAATCGTCTCGGGGCTAAGCCCCCTCTGGTGCCCGCGGCAATGGATGATGGTGACCTCTCGAGGTAACCAGATTGCTTGTAGCAATGCCAATATCTCAGTCTTATTTTTGATTTCCTTTCCTCCAGAGGTCAATAGTCCTCTATTTTGATAAATTTCCCTGTGTACGGGCAGTGGCAAAAGCATAACGGCTATCAGTGAATATATTTATCTTTTTTCCTTTTCCCAATTCCAGAGCCTTGGTCAAGGCCATCAGCTCACCTCTCTGAGCTGAGGTCCCTTGAGGTAGCCCCTGTTCCCATTTTACCTGTTGGTCCTGGTTGACTACCGCTGCTCCAGCATATTGTACACCATCCCGAACAAAGCTGCACCCATCAGTATAGAAAGTTATCTCTGCATGGGGGAGGACTTGGTCCGTTAGGTCCGGACGTCCTCCCCTCAAATTTTCAAGAGTCTCGAGACAATCATGGATGGGCATTTGTTCGTCAGATTTTGAGAGTAGAGTAGCCAGATTGAGGCTAGCAGTGGTGGCAAACTTAATGTGTGGCTGTTCTAACAGGAGTCCTTGATATTGTAACAGCCTGGCATTAGACAGCCATTTGCTAGGTGAGCTATTTAACAAGGGCTCAATGGCATGGGGAGTGATCAAAGTTAAATCCTGTCCAAAGGTCAATTTTTCAGTCTCTCGGGTTAAAGCGGCTGCTGCTGCTACTGTCCTCAAACAAGTAGGCCACCCTCGGGCCACTGGGTCGAGCCTTTTTGAGAGGTATGCCACAGGCCGCTTCCATGGCCCAAAAGCTGAGTAATCACTCCCTTAGCTACCCCATTTTTCTCTGCCACATACAGGGTGAAGGGTTTGTTTAAGTCTGCCAATGCCAGGGCTGGTTGCAAGTGCAGTCTTAAGCAATTGAAATGCCTGCTGGCAAGCCTCGGTCCATTCGAGGGCTGTATTTCCTCCCGCAGTGGCCTCATGCAGGAGTTTGGCAATCTCAGCAAAGCCAGGAATCCAAATCCTGCAATAGCCAACCACCCCTAGGAACTCTCGTACCTGTTTCTTTGAGCCTGGCTTCAAAATCTGGAGAATTGTGGATACTCTCAATTCTGCCAGCCTCCTCTTTCCCTTTTCAAGAATATAACCCAAGTAGGTTACCTTGGTCCTGCAAAGCTGAGCTTTCTTCCAAGACACCCGATATCCCAAGTCCTGGAGGGCTTTCAGGAGGCCCTCGGTGGCTGCAACGCAGTCTTTATCGGTCGAAGTCGCCACTAGGAGGTTATAGACATACTGAAGAATAGTCGCCTGGGGGAACAATTTTCTTACCTCTTGCAGATCTTTGCTGAGAGCTTCTCCGAACAGAGTGGGGGAGTTTTTGAATCCCTGTGGCAACTGGGTTCATGTCAGTTGTCCGGTAGTTCCAGTGGCTGGGTCAGTCCATTCAAAGGCAAAGAGGGGTTGGCTTACAGGTGCTAGAGGCAGACTGAAAAGTGCATCCTTGAGGTCTAATACCGAGTACCACACATGATCAGGAGGGATGAGACTCAACAGAGTATAGGGGTTGGGTACCGTTGGGTGAACAGTCTCCACCCAGCTGTTTACTTCCCGCAAATCTTGTACCGGTCTGAAGTCTGAAGTGTCAGGTTTCCTCACAGGAAGCAGGGGTGTATTCCAGGCTGATTGGCAAGGGACCAGGATGCCGGCTTCCTGGAGTCGGTGGATGTGTTTGGATATCCCTACCTTGGCCTCCAGCTGAAGGGGGTACTGCTGCACACGGGTGGGGGTGGCAGAGGCCAACAGTTGAACCACCACTGGGGCATGGTGTTTGGCCAATCCAGGTGGATTTGTTTCAGCCCATACTCAGGGAAACTTCTTTTGAAGATAATCCCATTTTTGTTCAGGAGGTTCTGAGCCCTCTTTTAGCAATTTGAATTCATCTTCAAGGGGAACTGTTACCATAATGATAGAGGGTGGTTTAAATTCAAAAGTCCCTCCCTCAGGCTCAAAAGAAATAACAGCCCCCAATTTTTGTAGCAAATCTCTCCCTAGCAGCGGGTAGGGGCACTCTGGGATAACTAAGAAAGAATGAGTAATGGTGCCTTTTCCCAGATTTACAGTTCGTTTAGTGGTCCAAGGATAAGAGGCCGACTTCCCTGTGGCCCCAGTGATGGAGGACTTTAGGGAAGAAAGAGTGCCAAGGGAGGTCTTCAGGACAGAGTGGGCCAAGCCAGTGTCCACAAGGAATTGGGCATCTGTTCCCCCATCTCTAAAGTTACCATAGGCTCATTGGGGTCAAGCAGCCATGAGCCCTGGCCCCGTCAATCTTCTTCATCTACCAAGAGAACTCCATCTCTTTCCTTTTTAGTTTCTTTCTGTCTCTTTCTTTTTAACTTTTCACAACCCTTCTTATAATGGCCCTTCTCCTTGCAATATGCGCATTGATCCTTTTCTAGTGAGGGCCATACTTTATTTTTATCCTCCTTTTTGTTTTTTCCTTCCTTCTGGACAAAGCCTCCATCTGCCAAGGCAGCAATATTTGCCTTTCCTATCTTTTTGGCCATTCTATCCTCAAAAGAATCTCTGTTATTAAACACCTTCATTGCCACACTCATCAACTTTTCTCTGTTTTCTCCCTCAAACCCCTCCATTCACTGTAATTTCTTTCTAATATCTGGGGCCGACTGAGTAACAAAAGCCAAATTAATTGCCTGTCAATTTACCAGGGCATCTAGGTCAATTGGAGTATACGTATGCTTCCAACAGATGCTCCAGAAAGGCAGAAGGGGATTCCTCAGGTCCTTGAAGGACCTCGCTTACCTTGCTCAAATTGGTAGGCTTATGAGCGGTTCCCCTCAAGCCAGCTAGGAGATGCTGATGGTAGTTGTGGAGCGCTTCTCTCCCGCCCAAGGAATTAGCTTGCCACGGGGCATGGGACGAGTGGACGGAAGTTGTGCCTCAATGCAGATCTGCTGTTGTTCATCGAGTGGGCCCTCTGTTCCTCCTAACACTGATTTTATGGCCTGTCCTTGAATTCTTTCTCTTTCTTCGGAGGTAAAAAGGGCTTGGAGGAGTTGCTGGCAATCATCCCAGGTTGAGTCATGGGTATGAAACACAGATTCTAGGAGGGAGATCAAAGCCTGGGGTTTTTCTGAAAAAGGGGGATTTTGATGTTTCCAATTATACAAATCACTGGTAGAGAAAGGGATATAAACATAATGACCCTGTTCTATTTCCCTAAGAGGCAGACGAGGAACTGAACTAGTCCCTTCAGTGGGAGCCCCGCTGGGACCATAAGTGGCTCCTGTTCACATGTGAGAAGGGGAGGTTACAGAATCTGGAGATTTTTCTTCTTCAGGAAGAGGAGGATAGAAAGGGTTTTGAGATCTGGGGCCGATTTTATCAGAGGAGGATGATGGCTCCGAATAAGGTGGAGGTCTTATTTCAAGATCTAAGGGGTCAGGATCTTGCGAGAGCACCGGCTTGGGAGCTCAGGCTTTGGCCTCTTGGGGTTTACTTGGGGTCATAACCAAAATGCAAGAGCTTGTTCGTAGGGAACAACACTGCAACCAAGCCGGAGGCTGCTGACAAGCCTGAACCCAGATATTTATATATGGAAACTGATCAGGATGGCTAGGGTGTCTGGTGACCTTCTTCCATATGGCCCGGCAGAGGCTCGGGTCAAAGGAGCCCTCTGCTGGCCATCCAACTCCAAAGGCCAGCCACTCCAATTGACACAGGGAGTGAAGTTTTCCATGAGAAAATTTAACCCCATATTCATCCTCCTCCTCGGGGGAAAAAGCCAATTTAAAATTAGTGAGAAAACAGTCCAACGGAGTATTCTTGGAGCAGGATCCTCCCATCTCTGCCCTTGATGATTTGGAAAGAAATGCAAAATTAAACACACAACGGACAGGACACTGACATATGATGGACAAGACAAACAGGCGCCACAACAGAAATGAAACTGAATCTTCCCTTGTTCCTCGTCAGGAACCTTGGGGTCAGGGGAGGCTTACTGGCCCATCAGCCACCTCTCTCCTGACAACAAACGGTTGCAACTGGCAAAAAAAACCTACCTCCGGAGGTTTTCTGAGGTCTGTGCCTGAGAGTCTCCTGCTGGATCCTGCTACAGAGTCTCGGCTGAATCGGGCTTCCTTACCCGGGGATCTCGCTGGGGCCTCCAAAATGTAAGACCGAGGGCCTTACCAAATGCTCCGAGGAGCTGACTGCAGTGACGAACACCCGGGAAGGAACACACCGGACAAGTTGAAAAATAAAACAGACGTTTATTAGTCTGGCCAGACAGCACTCCCAAAGCAAAGTAGCTAAGAGAGGCAACTGGCTCAGAGTCCGAGGCTGTTTTATAGGGGGTTGGAGTTAACATGTAGATTTTATGAGAAAAAGAACAAAGGTTAGTGGTCGACTGTCATGTACTGATGGTCAGCAGACACACACACTAATGGTCACAACCATCACATACTGATGGTCAGCAGACACATTGATGGATTGTTCTACAGATGGTGGGCCCGGGAACATTTGTTCTCCGGACAAACAAGGGGTTGAGTAATTTACTTAGGAACTTTGTTTCGTTACAGATTTTATCTATTATCCCAGAACTAACAAGCACATTTTAACCATTAATTTACAAGTACAATAGAGGCTAGGGGAATAGTTGATTTTGGAATCATGCAGTCCCACATGCCTTCTATTTTTTCATTTTAAATTTTAAACAGCAATGATGGATTTCTTTATTCTCTTTGCTTCCAACTCACATCGGAATCCTCACATGCACCTCCCCCATTTCTTCTCCCCCTCCCTTTCACAACTTGGCTCCTGAACTCAGAAACTTCCAAATTGAACTCTAAAACTTCACCTTCAGTACTGTTCATACTGCAATTATTTTGTTTTGTATATTTTCACTTTTTGCCATTGGCTTCTTAATTTGCAACCTTCATTAAGAGGTCAAAGTCTGCCTCCAAATTCCTTTTCAATAGGGTTACTCCCTATTGCTTATCAGAAGTATGCAGCTTATCAGCAAATAAAAGCTCTCTGATACTCTGCATGCCAGTGTACTCAACCTGCCTCCTTACTCCCCATTGTTCATTGTCCTTTCATTTATTCCAGAAAGCTCACAGGAGATGTTACTTTGTTGTAAAAGCAAATCCTGCAGTGTAGATATTTTATTAAATCCTCATAAGAAATTTTATTCCCACATAGTTCCACTTCATCTCTTTTGGTATCTGCAACATAACTGTAGTAGGAAATAAAGGGATAAAGGCTGCTTTTTTAAAATTTAAATTGTTCCTACATCCTAAGATCATACATTAAAAGGAAGACCGCTGTTGTGCTTCGAAAGATGGAGTGAACAAACTCTTTGTTACTTACACACAAGCCTACCAAGCTCTCGGAGCATCCACCCCTCAAGTTTAATAGGGTGAACTTGAAACACATGGGCAGAAAAAAATGTTCTGTAAAATGTAATAAGAGGAAATTTTTAGTTTCCTTCTTAGCATACTGTAGAACACTGGGGTTCTGAAATTCAGTGGAAATAGGAAATGAGAGCAATAAACGGCTACCCAGAGCTTGGGAAAGATGACTGTGATAAAGTCTCTAGAAAAAAAAAAACAACTGGGGGAGGAACACTGTGATCTGTGACCAATTCAAAATTGTTTTATTTTCTGTGCAGTAAAACCCTTTCATCATCCTCAAACTTAAGCAGTCATTTGCTGCAAGCAGTGGTGTTATATTTGTAAGGAATGAAAGAAGAAGGCTATGTTCACCCTATACAGCATTGAAGCAGGAAGGCAAATGGGCCGAGTGCTGAGACAAGCAAGGTTGATCAGGAATTGAGCTGCATGCAGTAAACAGGAAGGAGAAGTCACACATAACAAATAGGCGCAGTGATGGTGAACCTTTTAGAGCTTTCAGTGATACAAACAGCCCAGTGTGTCATGTGTGCCATAGGTTCGCCACCACTAAACTAGGGAAATAAACGCTCCAATTTAGGGTCCACTGATTTTTGACAAAGAGGCCGAAATCAATGAAGAAAGGAATAGTTTTGAGGACAGATTAAGAACTTGATACTCACATTGAAAGGAATAAAGTTAGACTACTTCACAATCTCTTAAAAGTGCATCAAAATAGATTTAAAAAAATAAACCTAAGTATAACAGTTAAACTAACCAGCAAACTCTTAGAAGAAAGTTTAGTGGGTGAATCTTAATGACTTTATATTTAGTGATAGATTTTTAGGTATGAACAACAACAATAACAGAATAGATAAATTGGACTTTATTATAATTAAAATAATTGTTATTCAAGGACACTATCAAGAAAATTAAACCTACAAAATGGGAGAAAATACTTTCAAAGCATACATCTGATAAAAATCTAGTATGCAGAATATATAAATAATTCTTAAAAGTCAAAACCAAAAACATAACCTAATTCTAAAATGAACAAAAATTGAACAGACATTTCTTTAAAGAAGATATATAAATGGCCAACAAACATGAAAAAATGTTCAATGTCAATACTGGTTGTGGAAATCAGAACAATAAAGAAACATACTTTGTAAGTACTAGGATGGCTATAATTAAAACAAAAATAAATATTATTTAGGACATGGAATATATGGAGCCCTCATAGATTCCAGTGAGAATGTAAAATGATACAGTCACAATGCACAACACTTAAGTGGTTTCTGAAAAAGTTATACATAGAATTATCATGGCCCTGAAATTGCACCCCTAAGTGATACCCACATGAATTGAAAGTAGGTATTAAAATAAAAACTTGTTCATCAATGTCTGTAGTAGTAGCACCATTTGCAATAGCCAATATCCATTAACTGAAGAATGAATAAACAGACCATAGTATATCTGTTATCAGAGAATATTATTCAGGCTTAAGAAGGAGTGAAGTACTGCTTTTTGTAACAATGTGGAAAAGTATGAAGACACTATGTTAAGTGAAAGGAACCAGACACAAAATGTCACATAATGCCTGATTTAATTTATATGAAACATCTAGAATACATTAGTTTATAAAGAAAGAAAATTAATACCTGCTAACTAATGAGTAGAGGAGGGGGGAATGACTGCTTTATGCATATGGGATTTTCTTTTGGGGTAATAAAGAATTAAACAGAGGTAATGTTTGCACAATGGTGAATACATCAAATGGCATTGAATTGCATATTTTAAAATGATTAATTTTATGTCATGTGAATTTTACCTTAAATTTAAAAAATTAATCTTTTATATGACTGAGTTTTTTTCTTTTTAGACAGATGGGGTCTTACTGTGTAGTCTTGGCTGATCTGGAATTCCTGGGGTCAAATTATTCTCCTATCTTAGCCTCCTTAGTAGGTGGTACTACAAGACTGTCATCACTGAGGTCCACTTCTTAAAGAAGTAGTTGTTTTGGGGGTTTTTTTGCTTTTGATACTGGGGATTGAACTCAGGACCTTATGCTTGTCAGCGCCACTGAGCTAATCACAGCCATAAGGAAAAAGGCCACTTGAAACAAGCCATATTTTCTGACAACAAGACAATTAAGCTTGCCATTACAGTAAAAAGATTATTATAAAACACCATTCACTTGAAGAATCTAGACCAGCACACAAGTGAAAGTCCTCAAGGACAGTCAGATGTCACAATTGTTAGGTCACAAGACAATAAAAATCTGTGCTCCTCACATAGACCAGACCAATTAGTTTGAAAGAAAAAGACATTTTCTCAATGATAAGTACTGTTTGTCTCCTTGTGCAGTAACTTAATTGGAAAGAGACTGAACTGAAGTTGAAGCACTTCTCCCTTTCAAAGGAAGTAGTGCCCCCTCCCAATGGAACTGAGCAGAAGCCAGAGCAGATTCTTTAGTGACAGCCATACAAAGTCTCAGATAGGCGGTTGGTTGTAAGACTGGATGAACTGGGAGTGAAGTCTGCATTGTGCAGTGTAGAGGGCAGGGTGGTTTGTCTTGATGGAGGGAACAGGAATACCAGGAAATGACACAGAGTTCTTTAAGCGAGGTATAATTGAGAGGAAAGGGAAGAACAGGAGCCAAGGGATGAAGGGAAGGCATTCTCAAAATGATTACCATCTCCACATAGTAGGAAGAGTAAATTACAGTGCTCCATGACCCTGTTCTTAAATTGTTTTCCTCCCCTCCTCTCCCCTCCCCTCTT